GCATGAATTGGCCTGGGGTGGGGACACTCTCTGGTCCTTGGTTAAAGAGTCCAGTTTCCCTGGAAGATGTCCTTACACACAGGCTGACAGGCTGCCTGGCCCAGCCTTGGGGGGTGGAGTGGATGGGTCCTGCCCAGCACAGGGCATGAGGCGGCAGGGGGTGAACAGAGCGTTCACCCTGCAGGCCTACGAGGGGGTGCTGCAGCTGGTGGAGGCGCGCGGGCGCTATGAGGAGCTGTGTATCGTCATGTGCGTCATCCCGGCCACCATCAGCAACAACGTGCCAGGCACTGACTTCAGCCTGGGCTCCGACACCGCCGTCAACGCTGCCATGGAGGTAAGGGCATGGGTGGGGGCGGGAGCAGGTGACTGGGCACAGCACGCCCAGGCGGCAGGTCCGGTGTCTTTCCCATGGTGGTGATGGTGGTGCCGTTGTCAGTGCAGCTCTGTTTTCTGGTGGAGCCGCACATTCTTCTGTAGGTTTATGGCCTGTTGTGTGTCTTCTGGAGACCATCTTTGTCCCACATTTGCCCACGTTCCTTGGTGCACCTCCTGTTTTGCGCTGCCCGCGTGACTGCCTCGGCCGGCAGAAGGCACTGACCATTTGGCAGGTGCTGCCAATGACCTCTCCCTTCCCTGTCCATGTCTGGGTCTTGGCCTCAGGCTCATGTCCCCATAACCTCAGCGTGTTATATTTACTTTTTCTTAATTTGGTCTTTGATCTTCGGTTTCCTTTTCACACCCTGAACTGTTCAGTTAGAATCGTTACACATCGTGTCTCTACTGGCATCTGCGGGTAGCTTTTGTTTATGTGTGTGCCTCCATGGTGACCCCACAGTGTTGGGGCCACCCCTGGACAGATGCGGTGATGGGGCTCAGTTAGAAGGTCCCTGCCTCTGTCTGCCACATGCTGGGCACCTGCCCCCTCTGTGACAACTGAATGTCTTCAGGCGGGTCAGTTGTCCTGGGGAGTAGAATCGCAGAACTTCGGACTCTGTGCGGCCAGGTGGGAGGTGGGCCTGGTGCTGCCGGCTCCCTGGGTCTGTGTGGTGTGAGAGCCGCCACCTCCCGGTCCTCAGTCAACCTTGAGGCTGGCTCTGGACAGACATAGGCCTCTGTAGTGTGACAGCATCTGTGACATGTTGGGGAGGGTGGGCTCATGGAGGACCCAACCTTCTCGGCCCCCAGAGCTGTGACCGGATCAAGCAGTCAGCATCAGGGACCAAGCGCCGCGTGTTCATTGTGGAGACCATGGGGGGCTACTGCGGCTACTTGGCCACTGTGACAGGCATCGCCGTGGGGGCTGATGCTGCCTATGTGTTTGAGGACCCTTTCAACATCCACGACTTGAAGGTGAGCCTGGCCCCTATGCTGCTCAGATCACCTGGTGGGGATGCCCAGGCCCCTCCTGAGACACACGGTCCCTTGGCAGGGGTTTTGGGCCCCGCCCAGGCCTCCCAGGCTCCTACTATCCTCGCCCTCAGCTCCTTGGGCCCCTGCTATCCCCATAGGTCAACGTGGAGCATATGACGGAGAAGATGAAGACAGACATCCAGAGAGGCCTGGTGCTCCGGTGAGGGCGTGTGGGGTCCCTGGGGTCGGGGGCCAGGGGTCGGGGTAGGGCAGCTCCTCAGGGCCCCGAGGCCAGGGGAGGGCCGCTGAGGGCACTGGGCAGGGAAAGGCCAGGTGGGGACTCCACCTGACTGGGGCTGGCCCACCCAGGAATGAAAAGTGCCACGACCACTACACCACGGAGTTCCTGTACAACCTGTACTCATCTGAGGGCAAGGGCGTCTTTGACTGTAGGACCAACGTCCTGGGCCACCTGCAGCAGGTACTCGGGAGTGCAAGGCTGGGGTGGGGTCCAGTGCCCAGGCCAGGGGTCCTAGGACGGCTCCTCGCTGACCATGTGCACATGTGCACAGAGGTACGTTTGCATCGGGCCCTTCTGGCTGCTCCACTCTCTAGCACCCTGGATGGTGTGTGCCTGTCTTAACCTTCACAGGGGAGGGCACCGAGGCCTATTTGCCGAGGCCTCACCTCTAGGAGCAGGATTCAGCCCCTGAGCCGAGCTCCTCATCCCTGAGGGGCAGCCCAGTCCGCTGCATGCTCCCGTGGCCACATTCGTCTCCAGGTGGCTGCAGGCAGCCTGAGCTGGGGGTTTTGTGAGCTAGGAGGAGCAGCTAGGTTTCCCTGACAGGAGGCCTGTGGTAGACCACAGCCTGCCAGGCGCAGAGGCCCAGGGGCAACCCCACAATGTGACAGGACAACTCTGATGGCCTCTGCTGTCCTCTGGAGGTAGCTTTCAGGCTGGAGGATCCAAGGAGGTACAGGTGTCCTGAAGCTGCCCAAAAGGGTCACTGCATGGTCCTGGCACAGCACGTGTGGCTCCTCTTGCCTCTTGGAGCAAGGGAGAGGCTGAGGTCACCCCGACAGACACCACCTTGGTGTTGGAGCTGAGCCTCAGCCTGGGCAGCCCCAGCTACCATTGAAACATGGTCTATTTTCAGGGTGGTGCTCCGACCCCCTTTGACCGGAACTATGGCACCAAGCTGGGGGTAAAGGCCATGCTCTGGATGTCGGAGAAGTTGAGGGCCGTCTACCGCAAGGGTACGTCAGGGGAGGGTGGTCCCAAGGCCTGACAGTGCCCTCCACGGGGCCCAGGCATGGTGCCAGCCTCAGGGGCCACCATGTGCCTGTGTCCATAGGGCGGGTGTTTGCCAACGCCCCAGACTCGGCTTGTGTGATTGGTCTGCAGAAGAAGGCCGTGGCTTTTAGCCCCGTCACAGAGCTCAAGAATGACACTGACTTTGAGTAAGTTCCACTGAAGTCACGTGGAGGATTAGAGGCCAAGGGGCTGGCAGACCTCCCTGGGGGAAGGGACCAGGCCTGGCCCCACCCATGCCCCTACCATGTGATGTCCCCAGTCCCCCATGCCCAGGGTCCCTGCCAGGTGTGGAGAGCAGGGTTGGCCAGGTCTTCTCCCTGATTTGGGGCAGTGTGTGGCATGGCCAACAGCAGGGCAGGCAGGACAGCTCATATCAGAGGGCTGACATTCCTGAGCCCTTCTCTGAGCCCTGGATGCCCTGACACTGACACGTGGAGAGGGAAGGTGTGCAGCCTTAGGGGGGGCCTGAGGAGCTGCCCAAACCCTGACCCCTGGCCCCTGACCCCAGGCACCGCATGCCCCGGGAGCAGTGGTGGCTGAACCTGCGGCTCATGCTGAAGATGCTGGCACACTACCACATCAGCCTGGCCGACTACGTGTCTGGGGAGCTGGAGCACGTCACCCGCCGCACCCTGAGCATTGACAAGGGCTTCTGAGGCCGCACGTCTGCCTGCCTGTGCCAGTGCCCACTTGTGCCCTATGCCTGCCCGCCTGCACCCCACACCTGCCTGTGCCCAGCGTCTGTCTCCGGGCTTCCTAATCCCCCATGCAAGCCCCAGTCCCTGGCACCAAGGCTGTAGCTGATTAGGCCTGGGCTGCTGTACCTGGGACCTGCAGGCAAGTGCGGGGGCCCTGCTCAGCCCGGCTCGGGACTCTCATGGCCCCTGTCTGCCCCGCTGCTCCCCAGGCCTCTGGGGCTTCTGTGAGCCAGTCTGCTGCCCTCCTCTAGGACAGAGCCACCTTCCCACCCAGGGGATGTGGGCTGGTGGTGTTTGGTCTCTGCAGCCCCAGCCTTGGCACTCGTAGGGCCCTCAGTCTCTCCACCTGTGGGTGAGCTCATGTGGGTGGCCCTCACCATCATTTGCCCAAGGGCTTCCAGGCTGCCAGTGCCCAAGTCTCTGTGCCAAGAAGGGGCTGTGTTTACCACTCCCAGACCTCACTGTGACCTGCCAACACTGCCACCAGGGCTGAGCAGCACTTGTCACCTTTTCTAGAATAAACTCACTCTGACTGTGGAGTCTGACAGCCTCTGAGAAGCTCAGCTTCTGAACTGCTAGGGACAGTGAAGGCCCGCTGCCCCCAGGGCTGGGCTGGGCCCAGGGACATGAGCCCATTGGGGCTGCCACAGTATCCTTCTCCAGGACCAGCCAGGGTGTGATCCCCTGCAGGGTGACCTCAGCCTCTCCTTTGCTCCAAGGGGCAGGAGGGCCACGGCCTCACTTCAGATCTTGGGGCTTGAGCCTGGTTCCCAGGCCCTCAAGCCTGACCCCAAGTGGTCCCCCAGAGTCAACTCTGCTGGGTTTCAGACCTGTGGGCTGGCAGCTGATCTGAGCCACATCCCAGGGGAGGGAGGGCGGGAAGGGAGGGGAGGGCAGGCAGCCAAGATGACAATTGCCTGACAGAGGTCTGTCACCCTGGGGGTGAGGGGTGGGCTGAGCTCCACTGGGCAGTCCTGGCAGTGTGCACCCATCGGGAATGCAAAGTTGTGGCCGCCCTGCACCCACTACACAAGGGTGTAGTGTGCATGTGAGGATGCATGGGGGTAGTCCATGTGTGTGCACTCGTGTGCATGTGTGCTGAAAGGGTGGGACTCAGATGAGCAGATAAATACCTTGGGGAAACCTGGTAGGAAACACACCCACCCATAGAGCAAGATGCGTCCCATCTCCTAACATGTCCCACCTATATCTACCTCCAAGCTAGCTCAGGCCAACTAACCTGGCACCTGCACCCCAGCACCCAGCATGGCCAAGGCAGAGCCCTGATGGTGGGCAAGGTCTTACACAGGGGTGTGTGCAGGCCAGTAGGCGAGCTGTCACCCCTGCTCTGAGCCCAAATCCTCTCCCAGGTTGTTCTCATGTCTTGGCCAGTGCCCCTCAGAAGCCAAAACTCCCAGGCTGCTCTGTAGGAATAGGGTGGGCACACCTGAGAAACCCTGGCGCCTGTGTCTTCCTTGACCACCCGGAGCCAGTTCCCTGTGAGAGCCCTGCTGCTTCTCATTCCATTTGACTAGACCCAAGTCCCCCCAAGAGTGTGCCCACACAGGTGCTTCCAAAGGGACGGACATCACTGAAGCCAGCCAGAGTCCTGTATGCTGAGGGCAGACCTTCCCCGTCCTGCTGCTCTTGAGAATCACCCAGGCAAGAGAGTAAGAGCAGTACCCATGGTGTCTCCACGACTTGGGGCTCCCTCTGCTCCTGCACATGTGGAGGGAAATGGAGGGTCTTAACTGAGCAAGCTCAGACCTGTAGAGCACCGAGGCCAGGAAGGACACAGTTGGAAGCCTGGGGGTGCAGCCCACAGAATCTGGCCAAGAGGCTGCATTGGGGCATCCCCAGCTCCTCCTGGCCCTGGTCGCACAGCCAGGCATGGTTGAGCCCCAGGCTGCGGCCCAATTTTGTCTGAGTCACTCGGGTTGGGACTCAGTTCTGAGGGAATCCCCTCAGCTCCTGCCAGTTTCAGCTGCCTATCTGCCACCAGCCCTGGTGATGCTGGGTGAGGGCTCTGCCTTGGGCATGGAGTGGCCACCCTCCTTCCCGAGGACATGGTGTGTCAGGCCCTTGTCTGTCCGCATAGGATCAGCGTTTCTGGCTAAGGGCTGTGTCCTCTTGGGCCTCAATCCTTTCCTCTGTAGACAGAGCTAACAGGATGCATATAGGAGCCCATACCCACTCTGGGGATCCTGGGGAGGAGTCAGAGTGGGGACTGGAGGGCCCATCAAGCCCAGAATGAGGTGGGCCCCGAGTGAGGGTGGAAGGGTGCATGTCCACAATCTAGCATGCAGACATCAGGAGCTGCTGAGTGGAGGCCACTGGAGTGCTGATCTGGATGGAGGGGGGTGGAGGCTGAAGGCAGGCTGCTCATGGTGGGTCTAACACAACAGCCTCCAACTATAGTGGGAAAACATGGGGTGGGTTAGAGGCCAGCATAGGCCCTGGGTGCCCATGCTGGGGGTGGGGTGGGGGAAGGGAAGGCAGGCACCCACATAAAATCACCTCCTGTTCTCCAAGACAGTGCTTTATTGAGTGTCCAACAGCACACCATTACAAGTGGGCACAGATACAAGCTTATGACCTTCTGTCTTCCCACGGCTCAGAGAGTACCCCTGACTGGAAGTAACCCCACAGGTGATTCATCCCCACTTCACCCTGGCCTTGACCAGGCCCTGAGTACAATGGCCACCAGCATTTCAAAAGTGGCTCATACCATGAGGGGAGCATCATCTTCAAACACAGTGGAGGCGAGTGGGTGGCCTTCCAAATGCACCACTCCAGCACTGGCTCTGTGGTCTATGCAGCTGTCACATGATCTGATGTGCTCTCAGCTCCTGCATGGAGGTGGACGTTTCACAGACCTGGGTCCCAACCCCACCAGGAGGAAGGGGCTGAGGGAAAGTGCCCTGTGTTCTGCCTGGTCCTGCACTCAGCACGGCCAGGTTTGGTTTCCCCATGATGGCGTGAAGCAACACCCTTGGTTTCCAGAGGCACCAGGAAGGACCAGGGCTGCAGTGTCCCCACCTGGATCCGGGTAGCCTCTTCCCAGCGGAAGCTTCCAGACCATGCTCCAGAGGCCCCCAGCAGCTATTTCCCACGGCCCCACGTGGTTGGCATCCACCGCCCACTGTTGCAGTGCCCTTAGGAGGAAAGAAAGCACTCTCCCTGCCCCACTGTGAAAAGGAAACACCCTGCCGTGGCAGTGGGGGCTGTAGAGTGCTGAGGACCAGGGGCCTGCTCTCTGTCTGCAATCTCCCCATTCTACCAACCTATCACTGACTCAGGGCTGAAACAGGACTGGCAAGGCCCCTTCTGCCAGCTTGGGGAATGTCTGCTTCCAGATCAGACTCGGAAACACTTTAGGGAGGACGGCCCAGAAAGCCCTCCCATGGAGAAGAGCCCAGACCCTCCTGACCACTGGAGAGTACCTAGGTGTCCTGCTATGGCAGGCATCTCTGCCAGCCCTGACAGAGGAGCCAAGGCTTCTTTTTAGCTATGGGCAGAGGAGCTACGTCCACCCTGCCAGCACCTGATACTCCTGCCCCTGGGCCTGGCAAACCGAGGGTGGCTTTCCTGCCAGGGCTGAGGCTGTGGCCCTCCACCTCCCAGGTGCAGGGGGAGAGGTCTCTGGGGTCCTTGTGCTGGCCCGGCAGCTCTGGGTCCTGGTAACAGTCACTCCACCTGCTCCTGCAGCTCCTGCCCCTGCAGGGCCTGCAGCCGGCTGCCCACGGTCCGCCGCACGGCTTCCAACCCCTCCATGTCCAGCTCCCGCAGGAGCAGCAAGATGGCAGTCAGTACATTCTGGGGGCAGAGAGAGCTGCTCAGCCCCCTGGAGACACAGACGTGACTGCTGATGCTGCTCTCAGGAGGGGAACGATGCCTTTCCTGCCAGAAAGGCAGGGCAGGGTTTTGCACATGGGAGGCTCAGTGTGCAGCTGGAGGACTATGCCCAGCTGTGCACAGCCTTCCCCGACCCTGACCTCTGCCTCACCTGGGCCCTGTTCCCTGTAAGTCTGCCTGCTCCTCCTGCAGTCTGAACGCCTCCCTGAGCTGCTGCCCTCCTCTCATGGCACCAACCCAGAGGCCTGGTCTAGTCCCCAGTGCCATGTCCCCTCTGGCACTCACACTGCATTCAGCCTCTCTGGCTGGGACAAGACACCTCCCACACCTGACAGCAGACTGGTTTCTCCCAAAGCAGCAAACCTCTGCTAACTTTAGTTTGGCTCTGAGAAGATACACTGGGAATGCCGCCACTGTGGATAGACACAGGGCTCCTCCCAGGCCTGAGCCCTGCTACTCACTGGGTGCTGGCTCCAAGGCCCCCTCTTGTGAAACCAGACCTACTGCCCCCTCCCTGCTTTAAGATGACACTTCTCATCAGCTCAGGTCTAGAAACCAGGCATATGGGCCCTGAGGGCTGGTCTACCCTCTGGGCCTTGGCTTTCTGAGTTCCCACAGGGTGTCCCCACCACGACTCCTACATTCTGGAAAGAGGAAGCAGCAGCCACCTGGGCAGGGTGGGCCTGCCACTCACCCTGTTCTTGATACTGTTTGAAGCATCCTTTTGTGAGAAGGAAGAAAACTGGTCCCGGGAAGGGGCATTCAGGCCAAGCTGGGCCTGGACACTGCTGGGGAGGGGAGACAACAGGTAAGTCTGTGCTGGAGGGGCTGGAGCACCAGTCTTAGTGTCTGTAGGTCTCTCCTGCTGGGAGACTCCAGTCATACAAATGGGCTCTCCCATCCCAGTATGTGTAGGACATGCAGGAGGCTGACTCCAATGGGCAGAGGACATTCCAGACGCCACCTGGGCAACTTCTGGGGAGCCTGAGCATGAGGAATAATTCTCTGGTATTTTTTAATCTTGTGAGGGCTCTCTCCGACTGTAATACCTTCCACCCAGGGCCTTGGAGCTCGGGGGCACCTAAACACACAGAGCCTGTGTGTTAGGCAGCAGCTGTTGACCTCAGAGGTCACACCCCAAGGTTTCCCCCACACTGCAGGGACCCAGGGGCTAGGCTTTGAGGACCTGTCTCTACTGCCTGCTCTGCAGTCTTTCTGCTCAAGCTGCCCCTGAGGTGAGCTACTGCAAGAGCTGCGTGGGTCAGCTCCACAGCCCCATATGTGCAGTGCCCACTAACCATCAGACTAGGAGTGGCCTCCAGGCTGCAGCCCAGCAAGGCTCTCCCTGTACCTACACAAACTCCCACCTGGGGCCACAGGAGGCGGCTGACAACCCGCTTCTCTGCAGTTACAAGACAGAAATGCTACTGAGATTACTGTAGGCTGCTTGGGTTGCTCCCTGACAATGCTGAGGGGAAGGAACCACCCCAGATACCCTCCCCACACTGGCCAGAGGCACAGAGCACAGAAGGCCCTGTGACCCTGTGGGAGGCCCCATGACCCGAGCCTTACTCTGCTTCCTCCTCGCCACAGCTCAGCAGGTCCTGGCTAGTCTCAGCAGAGGAGCTGACCAAGCTCAGCATGTAGGACGGCTCAGGGCAGCCACTGTCTCTGTCTGGGGCGGTGATCTCATCTCCCTCCATCAAGGCGCGGGACAGCTCCTCCTCTGTCACAGCTTGGGGGAGGTCAGAGAAGGCCATCAGAGTGGCCTCAGCACGCGTGGCCCCACGCAGCACTGTGCAATGGCACCAGCACGTGGAGCTAAGCCTGCCTGGTCCCTGTGCACCAGTGTGACGCTGCTTGCCATGGAGTGCACACCGTGTCCAGAGTGGCCCTGCTCTTCACAACAACAAAAGGAGTGAGCCCTGCTCTGCACCCACATCCAGGTGCCTAGCTACACTGACACTCCGGAAAGGAGAGTGCAAAGCTGGGGACTGGCTCCTCCAGGAAACTCTATGCACGGACAACTGTTCTTGAAAGATCAGGGACTTACAGAAAATAGGAAGGAGGGTCAGGGACTGCCCCATCAGGATTTGCTCCCATAGTGCGGACCAGCGTGACCCATGGACACTTACCCTGGTTGTCCAGTTTCTGGAGGGTGGGGAGGTTACGCAGCACAGTCATGCGGTAGTGCTGGGGGTCAGTGCCGCAGCACGGGTTCTCGGCCAGCCACAGCACCCGCAGGCGCGGCAGGCCCTTCAGGTAGAAGAGCTCGGCCAGGCTGGGGATGCAGTTCCTCCGCAGGTACAGCTCGCTCAGGCGCCGGCAGCTGCTCACGGGCTCCAGGGTGGAGACGCTGTTGACACTGCACAGAGACCAGCACTGTCAGCAGCCCAGCCAGCAGCTCAGGCTGCTCCGTCTCATCTCAATCACAAAGGCCAGAAAGGGCTCCCATGGGCCTGTGCCCACCTGCTGCCGTTTACAGGTGAGGAAACCCCCCAAGACATGTACCGCCTTGCTCTGAAGCAGACAGTGGCCAGAAAAACATGGCAAGACGTACTAGCAAGCTTCATGTCACGCAGAACCCAGCAGTGAAGTGTCAAAATTCCACATTAATATAGAAAGACTATGGGATTGATTTTTGTCTACAGAATTGCAAACACTTCAAAGAAACAAAAATCTAAGGCAGTGTCTGACAGAGACGGGAGGTGACACTGCAGACTGTGGCAGAGCCACTCTCACAGGCACCCTGTACTGTGCCTGTCCACCTGCAGTGTCATTCTGGGGGCTGCACTGCATCTGGCACGCATTGACCCTTGTTAACGTTGTAGTTCTTGGTACCCAGTGCTGAGCGTGGCATTTCATATAATTTATTTCATTTAGCATCTCAGTATGAGGCAATACAATACCATTTTACCAAGAGTGAACCCTGCTCAAGGTCCAGCAGTCATTGTGAAGCACAGACCAAACCCACAGCCTGGCCTCAGCCCTGCTCCTTGACTGCTTCCTTCTGTGAGCACAAACACCAAAGCCCCTGACTCCCCTCGTGGAAGACAGCCACCCAGCCTGCCTGCCTGCCCCACGCCACAGCAGGCCATGGCAGCATTAGAGGGCCCTGCCCATTGCAAAGATGACTCCAGGTAGCCCAGAGGCTGAGGATGGGCAGGACAGGCAGGAAAGCGGCCAGACCCTGAGGAACGAGGCAGAGGATGGCGGATACACGGGCTGCCAGGCTCTCACGACTCCAGCCCCTCCACCTGCAAAAGCCACCCTTCCAGACTGTGCTGGAAGTGTCCAGGTTATTTCATGGCACTGGACCCCAGGGGAGGGACATGAGGCTCTGCCCCAGCTTCATGCCCAGGGCCTCGTGTGACAGTAGGAGCTGGTACCTGAGGGTGATCACCTCCAGGCTGGGCATTTCCCGGCATATGGAAATCTAGGAAAGAAAAAATGTGGCTGAAACACGGCTCTGCATTGGCATCATCGCATCACCTCTATCAGGCCAGCAGAGAGCTGTGTCTAAGCCAGTCAACTCCATGACAGTGCCGAGGGGAGTGGCCTGGCCAGACAGACATTTGTGAGATGCTAGACTCTGTGCATGCTCCACTCTTGAGGCCCAGATGGTCCCCCACACTGAAGGAGCGCATGTGTGCACTCTCACTTGTATTCTGTGTAAAATTCTACAACAGTGTCACTGTTAGCTACTGTGCCAGCCGCAGACAAAGCACACAGCATTTGAGATGCCAACAAAGGACACCAGGGAGGGCCCTCAATGCTGGAACAGACGGTCTTTCTTCTTGCTGTCCTGGAGGTACAGGAAAAGACAGAAGTCCCCTTTTGCCAAAAGAACTGGCCCGAAAGTGAGAAAGCCTTGAAACTGGACCTCAAGCACATCTGCCCTGTTAATTCAGTGGCTAGGGGTGTGGGTTCCGTCCATAAAACCTTCGTAACCTGTAAGGTCACTAAATGGCACATGTCCCAAATATGTGACAGCCTGCTGAGTGCAGGGCACTGAGTCAGGGCCTGTTACTAGACAAGGTCCCCAACTTTGCCAAGCTCACAGGCCAGTCAGAATGCTTCAATCTGCCTGGGATTTGTTCCCACACTTCTGTATTTTTGCTGCCCTATATGCAATGTTTCAGCAACAGCACAAAGTGGAATGTCTATGTGTCCATGCTTTTTTGGACTAGCCTAGTGGCTCAGTCACATTCAATTTTGTTATAAGGAGAGGTAGAGTTCAAGTTATAAAAGAAAAGTAGGTTAAGAAATAAAAGATTGACACAAAATCCCTGTGAAAGTTAGAGACATTTGGTCTAGCACTGAGAGGAGAGAGAGAAAGAAAGAAATCTATTGGCAGACCCATACGCTCAAGTCCCCCCACCTAAGGAGGCTCAGTCTTTGCCTGCCATGGATGGGGAGGGGGACTGGATCTGATTCAGAAGACAGGTGAAGTGAGGATGCCATGGGAGGTGAAACTAGCCTGCTGGGGCCCCCTCCAGGTGGAACACTCTGCAGGTCAAATCTTAGACCTGCTCCTGTCCTCTGTGGGTGAGACCAGTGAGTGATAAAGAACATTTCTCTCACAGGAACGTCCCAGGAACTTCTAAATAAATCTGGGCACTACAGAATTTTTCACTAGTGGGTCTGCATTACAAAAACTGCTAAGACTTAGAATAGAACTAAGGACACTTTGGTCAGTTTCACAATTGTCTGGGGGAAGAAGTTACCACTTTTGGTACTAGGGCTATTTGGAGATAATTAATACAATACTTACATCTGTGAGACGGCTCCCCCTGGGGAAAGAAAACACAGACACTTTAATTTTGTACATTAAAGACAAAAATTCCAAAAATTAATTATTACAAACCTTAAGAATCTACAATTTTAATGACCCAGTAACAAAGAAAGGTTCTCCAGATAGCTGGCAAAGGTGTCAATAACTGGTTCTTGGTTGATTTTTCAAGAGAGTACTTTTCTTTCTTTTTCAGAGATAGAGTTGCACTTTATCGCCCTTGGTAGAGTGCTGTGGTGTCACAGCTCACAGCAACCTCCAGCTCTTGGGCTTAGGCCTCCAGAGTAGCTGGGACTACAGGTACGCCTGGCTATTTTTTTTGTTGTAGTTTGGCCAGGGCCGGGTTCGAACCTGCCACCCTCGGTATATGGGGCCAGTGCCCTACCCACTGAGGCACAGGCGCCACCCCTCAAGCGGGTACTTTTCACAGTAGGGAACAGAAGCGGCTGCCCCACTGGTAGGACACAAAATGATCCATTCATTCTTATGGTCTCTGAGGGGCAGAAAGTTAATTTCCCTCACAGATGTAAACAAGGGAGTCTTTATATGAGGCCAAGTTCAAGGGCTAAACATGTAACTTGTGAAGCAAACTAAAAACTTGAAACAGGGCTGTTGTTTCTGTCCACTTAGAGAAAGTATTGGCTATCCCTTGAGAAACAAAGAAATACATTATTAAAAGCAATGACACAGGGAAATTATGGGCAAAACACCAGACGTGCCAGATCAAAGAAAAAGACTTTTAATTAACACGGAGCAACACGCTGCCTGCTGTGACTCACTGAAGGGCCCCTCCTGCCGCCCATGGCTCGCTGCGCTACGCTAAGTCCCGCTCACAGCGCTGGGAGCGCCTGTTCGAGAAGCTCGGCCTTGCGCGGCCCAGCGGGACCTGGCCAGCAAGCCTGCACCGGCCGCAGCACCGCGTCCCTGGCTGTTGCCTGCTGAGCACTGAGAGCCTCCCGGAGCCTTCACTGGGCGTCTCAGCGGCCTTTCCCTCCGCTACGCTCGGCCCCGACCGCTGGCGCCGCCTCGAAGTGCCTCCGCGGGTCTACATGACGCTCCACCCGTGCTAGGCCAGAGCGGCGTGGGGCAGGGGGTGCCGCCGTCGGACTGCCACCCTCGGGGGCGTGAGCTCCCGCCGTGACCAGCGCCAGCGGACCCGGCCGGCGGCGACATTGCCCAGAGGCCAGCCCGAGGCGCCCCGCTCCCCCCGGCCCCTGGCCCTCACCAGCAGTTGAGTTTGCGCACGTTGTGCAGCTCTGAAGCCTTGGCCCGGGCCAGGACCATCTTCCGCGTCAGCTTCATGGCGGCCGCGCCGCGCAGGCCCCGGCGGGGACCAGCCTGCCGGTTCCTCTCGCTGGTACCCGGGAGCGGCGCGCGTCTCTAGGGGTGGGACCAGCGTCGTCAGGGGCGGATTATGCAAGTCCATTGGCTCCCAGTGATGGGGCGGGGCTGGGAGAGCGCTCAGAACAGCCTCGGCTCCGCCCCTACGTGCCCGGCTCGGGTCTTGTCCGGCGCATGCGCCGCTCGGAAGCCCGGCTGCACGCGATTTGGACGCAACCTAGGATTCGCGGGATAACCTGCCACTGTCGGGGTGCGGGCGTGGGCGTGGGGAAGCCGGGGCCCTGCGCTCCGGGAGTCGGCCGCAATATCGCCCCTGTCTGAGCGCTGTCGAGCGTGTCGGGCAGGGGCTCGTCACTCCCCGCTCAGCGATTCTCCCCAGAGGAAAGGCCCCTCCCTCTGCCCCCTCAGCGTGTACAGAGGAGTCGCAGGTGCCCACGGCGTGGGCAGGCCCAGCAGAGACCTCAGAGGTGACCAAGTGAATATCAGAACCTGGGCTAAGCTGTCGCATAACGATGGGGGGCGGGGTGTCAGGGACTACCCTATCTTTGTTTTGTTGTTTGTTTATTCGAGGAGTTATGGTTTCATCGGTTACAACTTTTTTTACTAGAACCATACCCACTTTCGCATATCAACACTCTGGAATCAGCAGTTCTGGAAACTTAACAGCAGTGAAGAGTTGCTGTGTCTGGAAATGGCACTGGCATGGGGGCCTCAGGCAGTGGGGACCTCAGACTGAGGGGAGGAGACCCCTCCTTGATCCCACTTTAGCCAGGCCCCTCTTTTCAGCTAGGCCTGTCCAGCCCAGTCATATAGCAAAGACTCCTGCTAAGTCATCCGTCCTCCAGATGCCTGATCCCCTCTCATGGCCATGAAGTGGTCATCTTGGAGTGACCATGAACTTCATCATTCTCTACTAGTGGTTTTTGACCATCTTGGCCTGCCTTTACCAAGAATTCCAACAGACACAGTTTGTCAACCTAAAGAAAGATGCTAGAGTACATTATCTCCAAGTACATTAGGTTTACTTGGGAATAAGAAATGAGAATTCTAATCTGGAATGCACGGAATAGGATCCAGTGAGGGATGGGTAAGAGGATGGTTTTATTAGCAAAGAGGGAGACTTCACATAAGCTGCTGAGAATCAGTTCATTAGTTCCAGAGGCTCAAAGTCACAGTTGTGCATTTATTGGTGGAGATGCCATTTCTGGGCAAATGTTCGTCAAGGGTGTCTTATGTGAGTTACCGAGTCCTGAAGAGTAACTAGTGGCAAGCCTTGTCAAAGGAGGAGGTGAATGAGGATGTGAAAGGGTTTCTTGGGGGGGTTTTAGAAAGTCCTTGGGAACAGTTATTATCTCAGACATGTAAGCATGATTCTCATCTCCTTTGGGCCTTCCTAGCCCTTGTCTCTGTCTCACAAAAATGATTTCATCCTGGTATCTGTAACTTTCACATTTGTAAGATCATAATAGACTTTATTTGTGATTCTAGCATCAGGAATGCTGTATTCTACAACACAGTAAGTGTTCCAGTGAGCTGAGCTGAGCAGAGCAGCTTGGTTTTATAGACAGGGAAAGGCTGAAAAAAAAAAAAAAAACCCACATACTGAATTTATCCTTTCAAAGTTATTTTCCTTGTAAGGTGGGAACACATCAACAGAACAGAAAAATAACTAGCTAACATCAGGTTACTTTTTGTTGAAAGGATTAAATTTAGAGGGAACTTCATTTTCATGCCATTTGAAACTGACCTGTTTGAGAAATTTGTGTCTCTCTCCTGATTTCTGGGAATGCCAGATGTTTAGCATGAGTGACTTCATTTTGATTCTAGTCTGGTCTAAATGGCCAAGTACAGGACCTTAGTGCAACAAAATACCCTCAGTAATTTTTATTTAACACCTCCCAATGTAGTTTAGAAGGAATCCTCCTAGGTGTCACTTTTTAGTTATTTTCCATCCTCTGGCCCACTCACTGTGTGCCTTAGCTATAAATCCCCACTTGTCCTGGCTGTATTTGGAGTTGACCCCTGTCTTTCTTTCTTTTTGTGATAGTCTTGAATAAAGTCTTCTTATCATCGCAACAAGTGTCAGAATAATTTTTTTTCTTTAATGTAGGTTGAGGGTTGCTCTCCTTGGAAATGTCTCCGCAACATCTGAAGGCCAGTGTCCCTGAGACCAGTGGAGGACCTGCTGGACAAGGGGTTGATTCAGTGGCAGAGAACAGTTTCACTTTCTGCATGGTGAACTTAGGCTGGGAGAGTTCCTCATCCCACCCAACCTACCACATTGATTATAAAGGCAATACAGAGAGTTCTCAAAGAAGAATATTCTCACCATTGTTTAGCAGCCACTGCTGTGTTTCATACACTTGTATTTTGCTGGTCCATGGGTGCTGTG